ATATATATATAAGTATAATCATTGTTTTCCTATACAACATTTACTCCTTTTCCTTTGTCAGTAATATTTAATTCTGAAAGTTTTCTAACCAATTCATTTACAAGTTCTTGATTATCTCCTTTCTTTTTCATACCTTGTTAGTTAAATTTCCTTGCTTCTGTAGTGGGAGGAGGCTTGAATAATAAAGCTTCATTGGGTTTTTGTTCTTCTTTTTTAGAAGTATCTTTTCAGGTGTTCAGAATATTTTCAATTCTAGTAGTTTGGTTTCCTAAAGATTGAAAGACGCTTTCAACTTGGGCCACATGATCTTTGTTTTTAGGCTCCATTTTGAAAGGAGTGGCCTTAGCTTCATCCTTCTCGCCTTTTAAAACGAGAGCAGTTGCAGGGGGGTGGACTGCCTTTATGGTTTTACCATCATTTGTATGAAAAGTTCTTATGGCTACATTAATTTCTTGTCTAGGAAATTGTGAAACAACAATTCCCCTTTGCTTAAGAATATACCTAAGCCACCTAAAGAATTTAACATTCTTTTTAGGCTTTGTCATAAATTTATTATATTTTTCATGGAGAAGTTCTCTTAGTCTCCCCTTACACTCATTGAAAAACCATTCTCTAATTTCTTTATTTTCATCAAAGTTAAAATCCTTCTTTAACCATTCTTTATCTATCTAATATTCTTCTTGTTTTTGAATGACATACATCCCAAATTCAAAGTCGGAAAAGGTAGGCTCTTCTTGCTCAACCTTTGTTCAGAGAAGGATTCAGGGGTATTCACTCTGTACATAGGCTGTTGAACCTGTTCTGAGGTTTTTCTTAAACCTTCTAAAACAATCCTATCATTGTGGGACCTTTCATAATTTGTTTGTGGAACAGATGAGGTAGAAACCCTAGAAGGTATCTTGGGAGGAGGATTAGCCATACTCAACCTCGTCCTTCGGACTGATGGAAATTGTATTTCAATTTCACCATCAGGTTATTCAACTATCTGTTCGGGTTCCCTATTTTCTAAAACTCTTGGCTGAGTTTTAGAATTTAGAGACCACCTTTCAGGTAATTTAATCTGATTCCATGACGCCGTTTTGGGTATCACTAGATTAGACTTCTCTATATGTGTTTGAAAGAACACTGTTTGTCCTTTGTATCCATTTGTCTACATTGGGACATAAGGTATTCATAACCTTGTAGCAAATTCTACAAAAGCCAGGTTTTGGGATCCTGGATCCATATGAAACCCTTGAGTTTTTAGGTTTAAAGTTAAAACTTTTGAAAGGTTTGGATCTGAAAGAGCCACAAAAAAATTGGGAAAACAATTAAAGTAAAGAGGGCCATTACATAAACTTGATTCGAAAATTCCTAAAAGTGAATCGATAAAATTTCTATGCCTATTATCTCTAAGGCAAAGTAGAACAGAGTTATCTAACTTTGTTCTGGTTAATGGCTTAACCGGCACTTGAACCAACCCAATATGAAGATGATTAAAATTTTTATTTTTATGTTCGTCTATCATTCTGTTAAATAGAAGTTGGAAACTATCTTGGGTTACCATAACAAATATAGTTTTTTCAATTGTTTTAATCGAAAAGTCACTTCTAAAATCAAAAGTTCATTTTTTGTAAATATCTTGAATTGGAACCTTAGGAATATCCAATTTTGAATTTGTTTTTCTATATTGTCTATAATTATTCTTTTTTATTATTAACGTGTAATACATTTGAACTAGAACTAGTAGAAGCCGATCTGTTAGATAAGGTTATGAGAAAATTGGCGTTAAGAGTAATATTACAGTTTAGATCCAAGTCAACAGGAAACAATC